TCGTATGCCTTTCATGTCTGGTTGTGGCGACTATGGGAAGTTGTGGGAATGACTTTATATGGGGTACAGACTTTTGGGGGTTGGGAAATTCGTACCCATCATTGTAGATGCTGCCAAGTGGTTGGGTGAAGCCAAACCAGGTTGGCAAGTGTGGCCAAGTTGGGTGAGGTGGATTGTGGAGGTTGGGAAAATGACAAGGGTGAAAGTTGGGTTGCCTATTGAGAGGGAAATTGTGTGGCATGGGGGTTTTCTTGGTTGGGAACTCCCTTGGGGCCTTCTCTCTCGTCCTCCTCTTCCCTCCCACCTGGTTTATTGCTACTCTAACTTTCTTGTGTGCAACTTGTGTGAAATTGTGAGACAATTGTGATTGAGTTAAGATTCTATGGCAGCTTACCCCCTAGTGCGCCGAAATTCATAACTCAAGAAATTCTTCACCTTACCGTAGGATTCAAAATGGGAATTGTAGCCACGGACTAGGTCTACAACATATCTGAGTTTGGTGAAGTTTTGACAGTGCACTTTTCGTCGACGGCGGTTCTTGTGAGCCCGTCTTTTCTGTCCAGAATTCTAAGCCAACGATTTTGAGAAATTTAGGCACCTAATCATCGTAGACCTCGTCCTTAGTCTCTAACACTTTGCACGTCAACGCCCGACCAGCACCAGCAGCCAGCCGTATGCAACAGAGCACGTGCAGCCGCAATCGGGGACGTGAGCAAGACATCCCCATATACGGAGAGCAAACGCTGGAGCAGGGGACCTAGTCCATAGGATGGTTAATAGACTTGTAGGCGTGAGGAACTGGGTTGAAAGTTAAGATTCTGCGCACCATAGCGGAATACAAAGGGCCGCTGAAAATGGGGGGTAGTGGCATGACACATGGAGGTACAAGCGATCTCTATGATCAGGCCAATGCGACGCTCAGCGATCCCATTTTGCTGCGAGGGGTTCGGCTGCGAGTAGGAATTCGGTTGCCATGCGCACGACAAAATTGCTCAATCTCATTGGAGGTAAGCTTTCCATTCTGGTTAGAGTACAAATGAATCGCAGGACGGCCTCGATGGGTGAGGATGGCCGCGATCCACGGGAAAAGAGCGTTAGGCTAATCGGCCTTCCACTACAACGGAAACACGGTGGTGAGCAAAATCGTCCATGTGCAGAATATGAAGAGGCTCTCATAGCAAAACTCTTGGGAGAATGTGGCAAGAGTGCCCCTCATAGAAGAGTATGTACAAGTTGCAAACCGCTCATGCCTGAGAAATGTGTTGGTGACACCCAGGTCCTAAAGACCCACATCGACCAAGTTCCTACAAAACAACAAAAGATGCAGACTTGCTAGGGTGCCAGAGGGCACTGCCAGACATGGGCTGCGCTGGACGACCTGTTTATAGATGGGATCAGCAACTGCGATTGCAACAGGAGCTCGAAGAGGCGCAAGGGCGTGTGGTCACGGAAGTAACACCGCCCGGAGTTGAGCATGAAGGAATGCGACGCATCTGCAATGGTCACACCTATGCTAGCAACAGCAAAGGATCCTAAGCACCTGGAGATCCTGAACTCGATTCACATGAGTATTAAGGTCCACCAACACTAGGTTTCAAAGCATACATGGCAGCAGGAAGATTCTGTCATGTCCATACTAACGATAGGCACACCACGTTGCATTAGAGAGTATCAGCCCAAGAGAGCAGCCCGATGTCCAGAGCTCATATAATAGAGGTTGTTGTGGCGACGAAAGCACCGTGTTGCGGAGTGATCCTGCGTCCGCAGACCATGCCAGCACTGAGGTTAGTCTGAAGATGATACTGGCGGGCATGGTGACACGGCGACCCGACACCCAGCTCGCAGGACCGCCATTGCGGCCAACGGTCCTCGGGCCACCAGGGCCCTACTACTGTTGAGAGACCCACTGCTGAAATGACCGCCACTGCTGCTACTGCAGCAGCTGCTACTGATGCTGTACCACCACACCCCCAAAGCCAGGACCTCCTCCAACGTCAACCCCTTAAGACGCGCAACCATCCCCACGCATCCATAACCATGATCCCCTTAGCGCCTGCCATGCCTGCCCGAGGCAGAAGCAGCAGCTGCAACCTCAGTAGTAGGAGCGGGCTCTGCAACAGAAGTGGAGGCAGAAGAGACAGGGGCCTGAGGGGGGGCACACCCCTTGAAAAAAGGGGATACCACCCCACCAGTAGTCGCGGCGATGGTGCGGAGGCGAGTCTTGATCTTAGTGAGACTAGTGTCAAAATGATCGAGAGGGAGCTCAGTAGGGTGCATGGCGAGGAGGGCGTCGCGTGCGGGAGGCGAGTCGCAAGGAGATGAAGGGTGAGATACATGGGGCAGGGGAACAATACAAGCTGCTAAGTAGTGCAAGCATCACAATAGCAAGCGTCAAGTACGAGAAGGTGGGTCATAAGGTCAGCAACAAGTGTGGAAAGATAGTAGGTCGGGGAAGAGAAAGGGCATGGTGAGACAGCCCAGGGTAGCGGAAGAAAGGTGGAGTAGCGAGTGGAGAAACTCCTTCGCTGTCCTGACCTAACGGAAATGAGCACGCTTGGCAGGAGGGAGGTTGCGACCAAGGGCACGACGTGTTGCTGCATCGCGCGACTCCCAAACCAAGTGCTTGGCCTGAGCAATGGCGTGGGCCTCCTGGTCTGTCTCGGAGGTGCCAAAGGGGGGCGCGGGGGAAAAGACAGCTCACCCGACATATGGGCGTACATGTATACATCGTCCTGGTGCTAACTCTGTACATGAAGCTGAACTCCACTCTGCCAAACGTCAAAGTCAATCATTCGGCCCTCCACATCGAAGTGCAGCACAAACTCTGAAGTCATAGTGAACGGGACGAGCGGCGCAATTATAGGCTCATGAGTGGCAGAGGCGGGAAGCTAGGTCAAGGCCGGCTTGTTGAGAATCTAGGATGGCAGCAAACTGAAAGAGCGAACCAAAAAGGGCGTGCAGTGGCTAAGGCTGACACCAGGCGCAGCAGTGGCAAGAGTAGAAGGTGGAGACGTAGTGGCGACAGCCAGGGCGACAATTGTAACGAGCTTGCAAGCTCAAGTAGATGCAGTGGTAATGTGTGTAGGGAGCAAGCGGCAGTAGCGGGGAAATATGCAGCTGCAGCAGCCGGCAGCAACTTGCAGCGCTAGGGCAGCGCGAGCGTGAGCGTAGGCAGTTTAGGGGCAGGTAGTGCGGGCATGGGCGCTGTAAGCAGTGCGAGCGCGGCTGCACGTGCGCGGGCAGGAGCGCGTGCAGTTGGGTGGGGGGCTGAACGAACACAGGCAGCTGCGCGAGCGGGTGCGCAAGTGCAGGCAGCGGCGCGAGCGGCGGCGGCGTTAGCGGCGGCGGCAACAGCAACGCCAGCGGCAGCAGTGTTAGCAGCGAGCGAGCAGGCTGCAGTGCAAGTGCGCGCGCGTAGTGCGGGCAACGAAAGCGGGCCATGGGAGGCGGTGCCAATGCGAGTGATGGCGGCAGTGTGAGAGCGATGGTGGCAGCGCGAGCGCGTGGGTGGCAGCGCGAGCGCTTGGGTGGCAGCGAGTGTGCGGGCGGCAGTACGAGCGCACCTAGAGCGCTACGAGGCACTAATACGGAGCGAGCTAAGGTTGGACGAGGGTGGGCTAGACCAGGGTGGGGCGAGGCGGAAGGGTGGATCCTAAACATACGATTGATACCATGTCAACAAGTTCAAAACTACTACTGATATCAGGAGGGCATTTAGGGTTCATATGAATGAACCAAAGTTACACCCTCTACAACTTAGAGTGTGTAGCCCTATCTAAGCAAGTTAGCCTACAAACAGATATAGTTATAACTTGACATATAATGCCTAGTTTTGATTATCCTAGCGATAAATATTTGTGGAGGAACATGCCTAATTGGTAACCACTAGGTCAATATGTTCGTAAGGAAGGCAAGAGAAGAGAGTGCATCTTGCTCCCCTTCTAGAAGGCAACTCCAATTTCTTTTTTATTCGGTTTTTTTCCCTTATTAACTGTTACTGTACTTGTGCCATGGCTGCTCAATAGAGCAAGCAAGCAGGACCCGAGTCCCCGCATTGCTTACATGCGTATGCTGGAAGATCAGAGGCTGAACAGTGACGCGGTAGCCGGTAAAGGCGGAACGTGTGCTGTATATTATGCTTCGCAATGCCGCTCATTAGAACTCTAAGCTGCTGGTTTGCTGAGAAGAGTGTAATTGCAGGAAAGCAGCCAGGTGTGGTTGGGACATGAGGGAACAGGTGAGGCAGAATCGTGCCCTGATGTGCGCAAGGAGAGAGTCAAATCGATCATCCTGTGATAAGTGCAGTTGGGCAGAGAAGAGAATGGGGGGAGGAAGATGGATAGAGCGAGACCGGGTGAGGGAGAGCAGGTGAGGCGGAATAGAGCCCTGATGTGCGCAAGGATCAAGTCAGTCGTCCGTGGACTAAGTGTAGTGGGGCAGAAAGGAGAACGACGCGGGAAAAGATGTGTAGGAAGAGACCGGGTGACAAAGAGCAGGTGAGGTGGAATTGTGTTGTGAGGCGTCTCAGAAACACGAACTGGATGCTCCTGCTGCAACTCCTATCACGGCCGGGTAATGAGTTAAGGCGGGTTAGACTAAACAGTTGTTTTGAACTGAACTTACTTTGGGGTTGGTTATGGGGAAATCAGAAATGAGTTGCTGCAGCTGTTGCACGGCTTTGGTTGCCCTGACGGGAAGAGAGGAATGGGCGGGATGGAGAGACAGACGGATGGGATTGATGGCAGGGGGGGGGGGGGGGGGGGGGGGGGGGGGGGGGGTGAAGGGGAAGGCAGGGATGCGGGGGTGGAGGGGAGGAAGAGGGATGCGGGGGAATGGGTGGGTGGGAGGGATGGAACGGAGGGAGGTATCGTGGGGAGGGATGGCGGGGTTAGCAGGGGTTGGAGGAAAGGGTGAGAGGAATGGGAGAGACGGGAGGGATGGACAGAAGCGGATTGAGGATGGGAGGGAAGCAAAGGATGGTGGGACTGGGGAAGTGCAAGATGAGCCGCCGTGCACCTATGGGCGCCGTGCACCTATGGGCGCCGTGCACCTATGGGCGCCGTGCACCTATGGGCGCCGTGCACCTATGGGCGCCGTGCACCTATGGGCGCCGTGCACCTATGGGCGCCGTGCACCTATGGGCGCCGTGCACCTATGGGCGCCGTGCACCTATGGGCGCCGTGCACCTATGGGCGCCGTGCACCTATGGGCGCCGTGCACCTATGGGCGCCGTGCACCTATGCGCGCCGTGCACCTATGGGCGCCGTGCACCTATGGGCGCCGTGCACCTATGGGCGCCGTGCACCTATGGGCGCCGTGCACCTATGGGCGCCGTGCACCTATGGGCGCCATGCACCTATGGGCGCCGTGCACCTATGGGCGCCGTGCACCTAGGGGCGCCGTGCACCTATGGGCGCCGTGCACCTAGGGGCGCCGTGCACCTACGGGCGCCGTGCACCTACGGGCGCCGTGCACCTACGGGTGCCGTGCACCTACGGGTGCCGTGCACCTACGGGTGCCGTACACCTACGGGTGCCGTACACCTATGGGTGCCGTACACCTTTGGGTGCCGTACACCTATGGGTACTCGTGGTTGTAGGAAAGCGAAAAGCAACCGGACTTGAATAAGGGTAAGACTTGATGGAACTTGGGGGGGGGGGGGGGGGGGGTAAGGAAGCGACAGGAGGGGTGGAGGGAACGGAAGGAGACGGGATGGATGAGAAGAACAAAATGAGAATGAAGCGCTCCATGAACTGGATGGGAGGCGCTGGGATGGTGGAGGTGGAAAGAAGAGGAGCAGTAAACGGGATGGAAAGAAAACTAGGAAATAAGAGAGGAGATTGAGGGTTGGGGAGGGAGAGAACCAATGGAATAAACATCACTGTTTAAAGACCCAAAGTTGGTTTGGAAGGGACGGAAGGAAGTGGATGGGAAAAGAAGGAAACTGGAGGGAAACAAGTGGATGGGAGGCAAAGAAGGGGGTGGGAGAAAAATAAGGGGGTGGGAGAAAAAGAAGGGGATGGGAAGGAAGTGGCAGTAAGTGGCGTAAGTGGCAGGAGGATCCAGCGGTGAGGATTGAAGGTGGAGTCTTGCCTGGGGGAGAATCGTGTGGAGGGGGGTGATTGGACGACTTGCTTCCACGCGGCTGCACAACCCCACATGAAGCCCAGCTCGTCCCCTGATGGTGGTGCGGGATGGGGTGGAGTGGGATGCAGAGTAGTGCCGTGGGATGGGATGGGGTGGGGTGGGGTGGGGTGGAATAGGACGGGATGGAATGGACTGTGTGGGACGGGGCGGGCAAGGGCGGGAGGTGGGGGAATGGATGTTCCAGAACGATGAGTGCTGCGTGGTGTCTATTCCATGATGGCATGGCGTATGACGCGTTGCGGCAGAACAGGTACAATAATGCATTATGGATGCTATCTTATACCCCCCCTCGTAAGTCAGCTCGTGTGGTGTAGGACGCATGATATGCATTGCGTACATTGCAGCTTATGCATGCCATGTGCGTACGAAATTCCACCCACCTATCATGAACCCATGCTCCAAGCCCGTTTCTCTCCCCTCTTCTCTTCCCAATCGCAGGCCGTCACTGTCAATCACGACAAAACTAGGTCAGCCGATGATGCTACTCTTCGGGGAAGTGCAGGTAGAGGGAGACGATAAGGGGAAAACGCATGGTGAGAAAGTAATAACTGTGTCTGGATTGATTATATGTAGCTTTTGAGTCGAAAGACATATCTCAAGTGATGAAGAGGGAATGTCGCAACTAGTGCGATAAGTACGCAAGCCCGGCTTAGTAAATAGCAATGACGTGCGAGAATGGTTTGACAAACGGAGAGGAGAGAGACAAGAAGTCGCTGGGCACAGTATGCCGCGACTCGTCTCCGTTAACGTACAAGCAGTGAAAGAAATGAGGGATAAGTGACGAAGGTGCTCACTGATATCCCTCGGCGTGGCCTTACGCTAATAACTGCTCTTCTAAGCCCACCACCGCATCTAAATCCATACGTTTCCCTAATGTTACCAGAAATCGCGGCGAATTCAACGCTAACAGCGAGAAACAACACGTTAGAGATTGAGGTTCAGCGTGTGAAAGGAATGAACAGGAATGAATTGACTAAGTCAGAGTTGGGTACAAATACAACCCTAGCAAACAGTACCCCATATGTGCTACCCCACTATAGCCTACAAACATGCATCAGCTATAATAATCTGACACACCCCCATAGGCAAAGTGGGGGAGAACAAGGGGTCACAAGACCAGTCAAGCAAAGCAAAGCAAGCTCAGGGTGGATCACAAAGTCACCACACAGTCCGAGCACAAGAGCAAGGCCAGAGGCCAGTTCACATGCAGGAGTACAGACATATATATATAACTAGACAAGCAAGAGCAGGTATATATATGTCAAAGTACAAGTAAAGTCAAGAAGAGAGCAAGTGAGGCAAGACAGGTACAAGACCCAACTGGGTACAAAAGCGCTGATGGTCGCAAGGCGCAAGTGCCTTGGTGAACACATCAGCAGTGTTGGCCTCAGAGGCCACGTAAGCAAGTCGCAACTGACCACGCTGCTGCAGCTCACGAGCAAGGAAGTAGCGGAGAGCAATGTGCTTCGTTCTGTGCTCCAAGCGCTGCTCTCGACACAAGGCCAACATGGCCTTGTTGTCTACGTACAGCACTGGAGGAGAACGAGGCAGCTCTCCAAGGTCAGTCAGCAGGTAGGTGAGCCAGCGAAGCTCCTGTGCAGCCATGGCCCCTGCGTAGATCTCAGCCTCACAACTGGAGCCGAGAACCGAAGACGAGCGAGTAGACCGCCACGAGACAGAGCCGGAACCAAGGCTGAAGGTGTAACCCTGTGACGACCGCTGCGTAGCCTGGTCGTCAGCCCAAGAAGCGTCTGCGTGCCCAGTAAGGACCACTGGACTCCGCCCTCCAAGCACTAGCCCCATGCCCGACGTACTGCACAGGTAGCGCAATACCCTCTTCGCTGCAGCCATGTGCTCTGGTCGGTGTCTCCCAGGAGCAACATAGCGTGCAAGGATGCTCAGAGGGTATGCAAGGTCAGGTCGTGTGCAGGTCATCAGGTACATGAGGCAGCCAACAAGCTCTGCATACGGACCACTCGACTCTACGGACTCATCCGAAGGCAGAGCTGAGAGTGAGTGGCGAGTAGGCAGAGGAGTGGCCTGAGGCGAGGAGTACGTGAAGCCGAAGCGCTGAAGGACCTGCTGCACCATGTGTGACTGAGTCAGGGTAATGGTGCGGCGTGCTCTGTCCCGAGTGATCTGCAAGCCAAGGTAGCTGCGCAGTTCACCCAGGTCTGTGCACGTGTGTCTCTTCAGCAGCTCGGACTTCACGTAGGCGAGTCCAGCAGTGTCCGCTGTGGCAAAGACCAAGTCGTCGACGTACACGAGGATGTAGAACGGCGGCAGGGAAGTGTCGGTGCGAAGAAACAGCGACGGGTCAGCAGTAGAAGGAGCAAACCCAAGAGCCGCAAGCGTAGTCCTCAGTGTGTCGTGCCACTCACGCGGTGCCTGGCGGAGACCGTAGACTGGCCGTCGGAGGCTCCACTGGGTGCCAGGAGGGAAAGTCCCAGTGAAGCCAGGCGGACGGCGCAGCCAGATCTCCTCGTGCAGGCTACCCTGCAGGAACGCAGTGCTGAAGTCGAGAGAGTGAAGCTCGTAGTCGCGCTGAGCGGCAATGTGCAGCAGCACCCGAAGAGTGGTCATCTTCGGGGTGGGAGAGAAGGTCTGAAAGTAGTCAACTCCCTGCCGCTGACTGAAGCCACGAGCCACGTAACGCGCCTTGAAGACAGGCGGCGAGCCCGGCGGCCGCTTCACCCTGAAGATCCACATGCCACTGACGATGTTCGCCCCAGGAGGGGGAACCGCGTCAACGTAGGTGCCTGTGGACTTCCAGGAAGCCATCTCTGCATCCATAGCTGCCTGCCACTGAGAGGAGTAGGGACCCTCTACGGCCTCCGCGTAAGAACGCGGAGTCGGGATGTCTAGTGCATCCGGGTCTCCCTCAGGGGCTAGCAGTACAGACGCGAGACGAGGTGAAGCAGCGGCTAGACACTGGAACTCCTCCTGCCTGTCCTCTAGGACGTCCGTGCCAAGGGCACACTCACCCCCGACAGACGGAGGACAGGCGGACTCTGACTCAGCGACAAGACGAGCAGCGTAGTCTAGACGACAGCGCGCAGCAAAGTCGACAAGCTCAGTGACAAGGGCAGACGCAGCAGACGACTCGAAGGAAGGGTCAGTGACAGCAGTAGCAAGGAGACGCGTGACAGTAGGACTGGCAGCACGAAGAGAGTCCGACTCCGGGTCGGCAAGGGCAGGAAGAGAGGAAGCAGGAGGAGAAGGCAAAGGGGCACGCAGAGGAGCAGTGGACGGACGCAGTGACATCCGGTGCGTGCCAGGGACAGGAGGAGGACGCTGACGCGACCCGCGACCTCTAGCGCGCTCAGTACGAATAGGCGACGCAGGACGAGACGCAGGCTCACGACGCTCAGTAAGGCCTCCAGTCGGACCAGCGTAGGGAGAAGGAGCAGGCAAAGGGGAGGCAGGCTCTAGCTGTGGCTGTGACCGGACAGGCTGCGGACCCTCTAAGGGAGGAGGAGGAGGAGCAAGACCAAGAACCTGCTCCAGGAGCGGAACGAAGTACGGTCGAGACCGCGCGGCGACGCCAGAAACAGCAGGAACAGAACCAGCAGCTCCGGCCGGAGCACCCACTCCAGCAGCACCTCCAGCAGAACCACCAGAAGCTCCAGAACCTCCAGCAGCAGCACCAGGAGCACCGTCAGTCGGACCACCAACCGCAGGCTCAGCGCCAACGTCCTCAGCAGGACCAGCTCCAGGAGAACCCTCAGACCCAGCAGCTCCAGCACCCACAGGACGAGCACCGCCAGGTCGCGTGGCAGCAGCGCCCTCCGCAGCCGAAGAACCACCAGCACCAGCGGCACGCCTCCAGCGCCGGGCAAACCACTCACGCAGCTCCTGTGGAGAGAGCGGCTCCCGGCGAGACGAAGCACCCCCAGGCACAGCACCTCCAGGCTCGGCACCTCCAGGCTCAGCACCCCCAGGCTCAGCACCCCCAGGCTCAGTACCCCCAGACACAGCACCCCCAGGCACAGCACCCCCAGGCTCAGCACCCCCAGGCACAGCACCCCCAGGCTCAGCACCCCCAGGCCCAGCACCCCCAGACTCCGCACCCCCAGGCTCAGCACCCCCAGGCTCAGCACCCCTAGACTCCGCAACCCCAGGCTCAGCTCCCGCAGCAGCACCGGAGTCACCAGTGACCTCGACAGGCTCGACCGCGTCTACCTGAGACACACCTGAAGGGGCAGGACCCTGAGGGGGGAGGGGGACTACTGGGGGGGGACCTGGTACCAAGAAGAGCGGGGGTGGGGGGAGGGACGGAGTGCGGTAGGGGAAGAGGCGGTAGTAGGGTACCGACTCGTCGAACGTGACGTCCTGGGAGGACAGAACACGTCGAGAGGTGGGGTGGTAAAACTGCCACCCAGGGGCGTCGGGGGGGAACCCGAGGAAGACGCAGGGAGAAGCACGAGGGGACAGCTTGTCCGCAGACAGGTCGCGAACAAACGCCCGAGATCCCCAGACCCGGAACGCCGACGCATCGCCAACCTTCCCCGTCCACAACAGAGCTGGGGAGGTCTCCGGTCGAGAGACCCTGGGGTGGAGGTTGATCTGGTGCGCAGCGTACCTGACCGCAAACGGCCACAGAAAATGGGGAGCAGCCGCATGCATCATGGACGTACGAGCGACGTCTATGACCATGCCAATGCGGCGCTCAGCGATCCCATTCTGCTGTGGTGAGTCCGGAAGCGTGAAGGTCTGACGGATGCCTCGCACACGACAGTAGGCACTCAGGAGGGCAGAGGAGAACTCTCCGCCTCTGTCCGAGTGCAGACGCAAGACAGGGAAGTCAGAGCCAACGCTTCTCCGAAGCTGAAGACGAGCTGCGCGGATCCAGTCGATCAACACCTGAGTGACCTCACCCTTGCTGCGCAAGGGGAAGACTGTGGTGTAACGCGAGTAGTCGTCAACCACCAGCAGGAAGTAGCGCTCCTGACCCTGTCCACGGACGCGGGCTGGGCCCCACACGTCCATGTGAAGCGTCTGCAACGGGGCCTCTGTCGGAGGAAACTGGGAGGAGTGAGGGGCAGCACGCTGGCGCCCCTCGACACAGGGGACACAGGTAGGGCCAGGGCCCTGAGGAAGGGGAGGGAGGGACCGGGGGAGAGCAGACACAAGGACCCGCGAGGCCATGCCTCTGAGCCGAAGCAGAGAGGGGTGGCCAAGGCGGTGGTGCCAGAGGAGGGTCTCGTGAGACAGACGACGACACGAACAAGGGGCAGACTCAGGACCAGACCTGGACGCTGCAGCAAACACCTGACCAGACGAAGGGGCCCTACCAGACGCAGTACCTGGAGGAGAAGCAGTGGTCAGTGTGTACAGGCTCGACCCCGGCCGACGTGTAAACGTAGCCAGGTGGCGACCTGTATCCGCCTCCGTACAGTGGGTCACCCGCTGACGAGCAGGGGTGAACTGGTGGACACCTGCATCCTGGAGGTCAGCACCACTCACC